AAACTAAAAGCTCAATTCACAAAGATGTTTTTCTATTCTTTGGCTGTTATTTTCTTGATATAACACTTTTCATAGTACACACAGTATCTCTGAGGGCTCATTTCACAAATTTAGTTTCCGATAGAGTAGGGAAGGGTTAGACCCTCTGCTCAGTTTTTATTGCTGTCTGGGTGATATTCAACAGTCTGTTTGATCATTGTCACCATGAAAGGAATTGAGGGGAAATCCAAAATTTTAGAGTTGTCCCCAGAACAAGAGGTAAGATGATATCTTCAAATGGGGACAGCTTTCTAGGAGTGCTATCCCTTTCACTTTAGGAGACTTCCTCTGACTTCCTGTTGCATCTCTGGGACATGAAGGGAAGGGACATACTGTATCTGCAATGGTATACAGTCAACAAAAAACTACAGGGTTTTTATTCCCTTCCTATTCTAGCCAAAACTAAAAAAAATGTTTGGCTATACATTCATTTTAAAGTAAACCTGTACTCACTTCATCCAGAGGCAACAAACCGAAATAAAAACATGTTTAATAGATTAGAGAAGGCTTATAACTTATGGCAGGTTTTATTGTTGTCTACATTCCCGTTAAGGACAGATTTTCCTCAATTTCATTTCTAGTGATAGCAATCAATGAGGCAAGAAATGAGGTCTGAAGGTAAGGAATTGAGACTGATCTGAGATCTACAGCATGCTATTATTCAGTGGCGTGGCGGTTGTCTACTGCATGTACATTGACACAAAGGGACTGATGTATAAATAAAGGCATTGTCCAGCATATAACTGGCACATAGGAAATTCTTATGCTCCCCGGCTTCATCTAGCAGCTGTCATTCTGTGCAAATGGTATTCACCCAGCTATACACTGGGCAAAGCCTTTATACATCACTGAGGGGTATGTTGTCTGCACACCAGTGTATGTTGTGGTGCCATCCACCAGTTGGTCCAGGCAGCTACCAATGAATTGAAAAGAAGGGGCTTATCGGTATGGAGTGCAGTGGAGATATTATTATTATTGCCTTTATACATCCCTCCCTTAATGTGGAAAACGTTGACAACCCCTGCACTATAGGCTTGGTTCACTAAGATGAATGCTTATTATAACACCACTACTTATTTTCTTTCATTAAAAAAATTCTTGTTATTTCTTATTTAGAAACATACATCTATCAAAATCCTATTTTCTTATCTATTGTTATTTCATATTGTGTTATTCTATCACCACCTCAGACAGCTTCTTTTCCTTCTCTCCTCCATAGACAGCAATCAACACTTCCAGTTATCACCACCATAGAGCTGGTGTTATTTAAGGGGTGATAACCTGCAAGGTAATCTTTGTGAATTGACTTATACATTCAGTTTTCTATAAGGGCCATTAAAATAACGCTAACAGTGATAGAACAGCACTAGTAGTGGTGCAATACCACTGCTTACAGAACTGACTAATTAAAGCGTGGTATGTATTTCTGTGAATTGAGACATAAGGCATGGTGCCAAGGAAATAACACCTGAAACAGTAAAAAACAGGTTCATGAACTAAGCATACGATGCAACTATGATTGTTATGATCAGAAAACTCGCCCTGTGATAAATAACATATAGCAATCATAGTAGTGTATACATGTAGATAGGAAGAGGCTGCAAAGACCCTGCAGGAGAATGGAAGCACTGAAATGCAACAAAGGATGAAAAATTGTGAAAACAACTATTTTATTTAAAAAATATATATATTTTTTAAATGATACACAGCTTTAGCAAATGAAATGTCAATCAGTTAGATGTTACATCTACTTTTAACACCAGCTTAATAACTCTGGAAACGAAAATTCCTAGTTGTCATAATGTAAAAAAAATGCCTGGTTACATTTAACAAGCCCACAATTTCCTAAACACAAAAGAAAGGCAAGGATCAAATCAGGTCTAAAGCTTGAATGTCAATAGATGGGAAAGAACTGAAGAGATTCCTTTCATGATGTGTGTTTCTATCTTTTTAGAGCCCTGAATAAATATTGGAGACACATGTGCTGTGTACTGTATTCTAGAAGTGACAGCAATTGTGGAACTTACTGCAAGTTCAAACCAGGACTTTCCCACACAAGCCTGGTGGCCAATAACACAAGTGAGCTGTGAATGGCTTTGAACATGAATGAAGATCTATCTCCACCCCACCAAAAGCCTCAACTCCTTTTTTTTTTTTTGCAGCTGCCTAGACTGCACTGACATCCTATATTCTTGTCATACACAACCAAAAACGTCTGTTGCTCCAGGCTGTAAAAAGAGAATGCTCACCTAAGTTCCACTTGGATTGCATTTTTGTTTATTGTTAATGTACCTGATCATGAGTAACAAAAAGACTGCTGTGTTTGGCTGGGTGCACTCTATGTGATAATACCAAGTCTCAAATACCAGGAAGTTTTCTATTCTGTACTCCATTGCTGCAGTAATATACCTCTATTCTCTCTCTATAAGAAAAATTTACTACAGAACATGAACATGTGAGCTCCAAGAACTAGGACATACTCAAGGCCTCTATGCATCAACATGCTCTAACTTGGGTCAAGTATGTTGTATTTTCATGATTGTACCCTATAGCAGTGTTTCTCTAACTTTTTTTCAGTCGTGGCACCTTTTAAAAGTATATACAAATCTTGAGACACCCAGTCTAAAATGTAAAAACCATAAATATGTGGCCTCTTTCAAAAATCAATACCACCCCTTATCCAAGACAGGAGTCTGGTAAAGATTTTAAGTTGGGATACCAGGCAAAAAAAAAAGACCATGTGGGGTTCCCCCCTTAACATCAGATGCCTCTTCACATCAGAGTAGCCCCCTTTTACATGTAAGGTCTATGAGGGTAGACGCCTCTATGAGAAGGCAGGGCTGTGTCTGGCCTAGAAGGACAGTAACTGGTGGGGGGCTCTGATCACAACAGTGACCTGGGTGCTGTGGACATTGGCCACAACATGCGGAGCTCCCTGTGGCCTGTGTTTATCTGCCCTGTTTTCCTGTGTATGTGCCAGGGCTTTAAAGGGCAAAGGTGGCTTAGGATTGTGTTCTCTTTCCCTGCCTGGTCATTGTGCACACTGGCCACAACAGGCAGAGCTCCCTGGGGCATGTGTTCATATTCCCTGTCTGGTCACTGTACACACTGTCCACAACAGGCGGAGCTCCCTGGGGAAAATGGATAGAGAAGGCGCAGTGCAGGAGCATGTGATCAGCTAAGTAACCAAAATGTAGAAATGTCACCAGCACACCAGAATCCTGTTAAGATAGCAGAATGTTCATTTATTTGAAGTTCCTTGTCATATAAACAAGTGCTTTCGGGGCAGTGCAGGGTCCCTTCATCAGGCTTAGCACCCTGCGTGGCCCCGAAAGCGCTTGTTTATATGACAAGGAACTTTAAATAAATGAACATTCTGCTATCTTAAAAGGATTCTGGTGTGCTGGTGACATTTCTACATTTTGCTGATATTTGCGGCGCTATCCGCAGTCACTGCGAGCACCCATTCCATTACAAGGGACTTTCGGTAAGGAGTGCAGCACGGCAAAGAAAAGTATCTATTAGCTAAATAACCACTCACCAACAATGTTAAATAATACTGCCACCGATGAACTATGTGTGTGTGGGATAAATAATACTGACCACCAGTGAGGGGGAGGAGTTACATAATACAGCCACTGACTACCAATGCTATGGGGCTAAATAATACTACCACTGACCACCAATGCAGGGAAGTTAAATAGCACTGCTATTTACCACCATTGTTGGAGGCGAGGAGGGGGGGAGGAGGGGTTAGTAGCACTGCCACTAATGTTGGGAGATATTATTGCCACCACAGACACCAATGCTGGGGGTTTCTATTACTTGCACTAACATCAATGCTGCGGGTGGTTATTAGTGGGGCTCTGACACAGATGTTGGGAGTTATACTGTGGCCATCTTGGGAGTTACCATTGCTACCATGGGCACCAATGCTGGGAGCAGGCCCGGCGTTAGTGTAAGGCAAGTCAAGCGGCCGCTTGAGGGCGCCACTGGGAGGGGGTGGAAAAATCCTGGCACAGCTGCAAACATTGTTAGATGTAACGGTCCGTACGGGGCTCAGGACTTCTACTTGTAATGATCTCAGCTCCGTCCCGCCCCCTGTGCTGACTTCGGTGCCGCTCATCCCACACTGTGTCTCTAGCTGTCCCCCCTGCCATGTGCCTTGTATGGAACCTCATACTACCTCCTCGGGGCCACTCTCTGCACTGTGGGAGGAGCCGTTCTCTCCTCTCTCCTCACGGCTTCCTGGTCCCGAGCTGCAGGTACCATTGTGTTGTTGTTTGTCTCTATGCTTTGTGAATGTCACTATGTTTGTATGCTTTGTGTTTGTCACTATGTTTGTATGTGTGTGTATGTCACTATGTTTGTATGTGTGTGTATGTCACTATGTTTGTGTGTGTGTGTGTATGTCACTATCTTTGTATGTGTGTGTATGTCACTATCTTTGTATGTGTGTGAATGTCACTGTGGATGTGTGTGTATGTCACTATCTTTGTATGTGTGTCACTGTGGATGTGTGTGTATGTCACTATGTTTGTATGTGTGTGTCACTGTGGATGTGTGTGTCTGTCTTTCTCTTTGAGCTTGTAAGCCTCTTAAAGTCATAGTGCCCAATTCATAATTCATACGCAGTGTGTGAAGTGCTTTATATATAAAGTAAATAACAGAGATAACATTACTATCAGTGGCGGTACTACCAGTGTCACAGCGGTTGCATGTGCAACCGGGCCCTGGCGTTCCGTCACTTAGGGGGGGCCCAGGAAGGAAGAAGGGGCCCCGACCCTGGCACTGGCGTAGCGAAGGGGGGAGCGACGGTGCAGCTGTCCCAGCCGCTGGGCAGTGACAAGCGGTTGGGCCAGGCAGCTAATTAGACAGCAATCCAGGCAAATATTGGGGCAACACAGGGGCCTCAGCCGCGAGGACCCAGCAGCACCCGCCTGATACAGAGACCCGCCTGGATGTTCCCGGCCGCTGTCCCTAGTGTGTTTTACAGCCTCCTGCAAGAGCTTCCTCCAGCTGTGAGAAGAAGCCAAGAGGACCGTGACCACTGTGGTAAGTGCTTGTCATTATAGAATATGGAATAGAACATGGCTGAAATTGACTATATTCTATTCCCTGTTCTATAGTGTCATTGTATTACTAGAAAACTACAAGTCGGCAGTTCAGCTGGGACTTGTAGTTCCATGTATGATAGAAGACTGTTTTAATGACTGTCCTCATGAAAGTACTAGTAATACAATGTCATTATAAAAACATAGACTAGAATATATAGTTGAATTTAAAAGTTACTTTACTATAGTGGCATTGTATTACTAGTATTTTCATGAGGAAAGTACCGTATTTTTCGCTCCATAAGACACACTTTTTTCCCCCCAAAGGCGGGCAAAAATGTCTCCAAAAACATCTTATGGAGCGAATATTCCCCCCAGGTCTTCACAATCTCCTGCGTAGGGGGCACGGAAGGGGGGGGGGGGGGTTTGTGTGTGTAAAAATGCTCCTTGCACCGGCACCAATAGTGAAAGTTACTATTATTACCTCTGACACCAAAGCTGGAAGTTTCTGTTATTGCCACTAACACCAATGCTGGAAGTTACTATTACTGCCACTGATACAAATGCTGGGGCTATTATTGAGGTCACCGACACCAATGCTGGGAGATACTATTAGTGACACAAGTGAACGGAAATTTCCATTGCAGACATGGACACCAATGATGGGTGTTATATTGCAGTCACTGCCAGCAATGCTTAGAATTACTATTATTGACCCTGACACCAATGCTGGGGGTTATTATTGCAGATGCTGACACCAGGGAAGGGGCTTATTTTACAATCAATCATTCTCCTCAGTGGGCATATTATAGATTTTAAATTCATATTTTGCATTCCCATACTTTTTTTTTTACTGTTGAGGCAAGGAAGGTTTTAATAGAATATATCGCTCCTTGGTTTCATTAGTTGTGAACCCCTGATCTAAGGTATGATAAACTTCGGAGGGGCAAGCACTAAACATTTAAATATGAGGTCTGCAGAGTTTTTAGAGTTTTAGCCTTTAGTAGTTTATATTTTGTTATATTTTAGCTGCCATAAATAAGATTTAAGTTTAAGATTTAAACAACAATTGACCTTGTTTTCTACAAGCATGTGGTCAAGGTCTTTGAATAGGAGGATGGACAAAGCTGATTGCATGGAGTGCCCTCATACTGTGTACATGCATTGAGGAGTTTTTTACCAGCTCAAATCAGAGTAGCAATCTATGGACATCAGCTGTGATGAAAATCAATCTTAAAAGGAAACCTTTAGTTTTTTAGATATAAATAAGAAATTGTTTAATTTAAAAGTAGTTAGTTACATATGCATAAAGTACATATACTTAGTACTTTACATACTGCACAAAGCTTGAGCTCGTTCCTCTCTCTTATTGCAAGTCTACCAGTCAGATCTGAATGAACTCGAAACCATTCAACCCTTATTTTATCAGGGGGGCTGAGAAATTGGAGATAAATGCAGATAGCCACCAAAGAGATAATCTACAAACCTGTATATTTAACATAATAAACAAGCATGTAAACATTTCAGCAAATCAGCAAAAGTAGACAATAGAAAAATAACTCAATATGCACATGAAAATCCGCTATAATTTATCTTTAAATGTTTTGTGTATGTACTCTTTACTCATGTACATACAATGCATAGTGACAGCATACTTTTCTGCAAAGGTATCAGGGGTATCCTTTGCTCTCCCAGAACACCATGCGTTTACCCCCAAACCAGGGGTAACAGTAGTGAAAAGGAAATAGATGCTGCTGTAGGATACTTTCATCAACATTGTCTTTTAAGGGCCCTCCGGGTGAAGATCGAAGACTATTTTGCAGAGATGTCCAGCATGCATCCAATGAGGAGTGAATATAAGGAATTACATTTTAAATTAACGTTTCTGCGATATTTCTATTTCCATATGGTAAGTGAGTCAGCTTTTACCACACACGCTGAGAGCATAGAGAGACAGACAAGTTTGTGAACTTGCAATGTGCTTTTAATGTGCCCCCATTGTGCAGATGATACTACAAGGAAATCAGTGTGACCTTGACAGGAATGGATAACTATGAGCTGCAGGCAATACTACCAACTGGATTGGCTTCTCAATCCTAATGTCGCCGGAGGAGACGTGTAAAAGGTTAAAGCATAAACTGACATTGAAACATACAATCTGACAGCTCATAACAGTTCTTGGCCCACCTAGTTCTTCCTTTGCCTCCGTGTCAAAAAACAAGCTTCTAGGCATGTTTTTTTCTGTATATCTTTGGTGGATTAGCATTACTGCCTTCATAATATAACCTTTTTACTTATCAGTGATGTAGATCAAACATTTCCATAGCTGGAGACATAAGAAGATGGGTCTGCTCAGCTACATACAGTAAATCATCATGTTTTTTTCCAGTTTTTGATATTTCCTTTCCTTTCCGGATTTGTATGTGAAAGGAAGTAAAGGGAAACCTCCCCAATGAAGGGACCATTCCCTACTCTATCCAACATTTAAAAAATGGCTCCTTTATTTTAGAGGGCAAGGGGATGAAGACAACAGCGCAAGCAGCTTATAGATTTTGCGGTTTGAGGTACATTGTGTTGTGCTGTCCTTCCTACCTCAGTCAACTGGCTAGCCATACTATCAAACTAACAAGATCAGCCATCATTGTCACACAAGAAACACCATGGATGGGGTGGAGAGGCCCAAAGAGGTAGTTTTCCCACTATACTGTATGCCAGTACACCTAAACAGAAGGCTAGGATAGTAGAGCAAACCATCATCCTATTGTGCTAGCAGTACAGAATATTATCCCATTATTCCACCAAGGTAATGCACAAACTGCTCAGATGGAGCAACAATAAGGACCAAGCTTCTTTGCAATGGCAGGTAAGTTTCCAGCCTGGAGTCTGTTTTTATGCAAAGAATTATGTTTCTAAAAGTCAGCAATATGATGTGTCACTGTGCCACCCCTGACAGACCAGCCACCCTAAGCCATGGCTTTTGTTGGGTATGAAGAAATTCCTTCTTAAAGGAGAACTATGAGGTGAGTGATTTCCACTCACCTCATAGTTCTAAGCCGACCTGTGACAATGAGACTGTCACAGGGCGGCTCAGTAGATCGGGAGGTGAGAGAACACATACTGGGTTCCCTCACCTCTCGATCCTGTCACGGCTCTCTGCCGTGACAGGGGGATGGGCTGGATTCCCCTCTCCCCGCTCCGATCTGCCAGCGCTGACTGGCGGAACGGACGGGGGAGGGGGCGGGTACAGCTGGCTCTGCCTCTAGATAGGCAGAGCCAGCTGTCACTCACGCAGCTGGGCGGATCCCGTCATCTAAGTCGGGATCCGCTCCAGGTGCGGCGTCTCAGTATACCGCGAGCTGTAGCTCGCGGTATACTGAGCTTAGGGTAACGGGAGGACGCTAGTTTGTGTCCTCCCGTTACCCCAAGGAGAACTATGGGGAAAAACGCTGACCCCATAGTTCTCCTTTAAGCAAACAAACCTGTCTCACTAGTTCTCTCTTTGCCTCCATGCTAAAAACAGGCATCTAACATGGAGTAAATGGCGTTTTCTTCCCCCCCTTAGTTTCAGGTTGAAAATAATAATTCATGTTTATAATAAACTTATAGGATAATTAATTGGTTAGTTGATAATGGATATAAAATGATTGCTCACTTTAAATGAAAAATTTAATTACAAAGGGCTATATTAAAAGAATCATTTTTCCCACTGAACTTCGGCAAGATGGCATCAGGGTTCTGTCAGTCAATATGGCGGCTTTGTCGCACAAAATGACATTTCAGTTCCTAGTAGACTTTGCCCTTGGATGTGCAATATAATTCCTGTTTTTCACTGCTCTGTATTACACTTCCTCATACCTGTGCAGTAGAATTCAGTATTGGACAATGCATTCGGAATACCATGTACACAATGAAACAGTGTAACTCCGTCCTGTACTCCAGGAATGACTCTAGCAATTAGTGATTATTCGAAAATGGGAAAATATCAGAACTTTATCATGTTGGACAAAACATATTTATATATTAATGACTAATGGCATAACTATTTAAATGTATCATTGTCATGTGCTGCCTGTAGGTTCTCCAAACATACCACTGCAATGAGATTTAAGTTACTGCTAGACAAAACAGTAAAAGGAAATACTCTTTTACAGCTGAACTCCAGGCAAATATAAAAGACACACATTAATGCAGCTCTGTAGTCATTAATTTATTATAATGGTTTTATTTATAAATGGTTTTACACAAGATTCACACACACTTTTCCAGTCAGATTCTATTGGAAAAATGTGTGAATCTCAGGTGAAAGTTGTGTGAAACATTTATAAATAGACCACATATGTATTTTTTGTTAATGCAAGCGTTGTAAGTACCTGAATTTAACTTGAGATTGGCATCTTGCAGTCTCCTATACAGTCTGTTTGTTTTGTAAAACATAATAAAGCCTATATTTTTATAAGATTTAATGGTCTCGGTCTGTTTAAGCAACCACTTTCTGTGATCCTCACTTGGAACACTCCCCTATTTTTCTGCTTATCTAACCCTGGTTGCATGACCTTAGAGGACCAATTATAGACAGCATTTCAAGGGATTTGTATAGTATATCGGATCTCCAGGGAATATACAATTTTTTTCCTATACAGTCTGTACAGCAGAGCTCAGATAGGGGGCGGGAGATGAAGCAGAAGGAGCTAATCACATGGGTTGCAGTGCAAGAAACATTGAAAGGAGGCCATGCTGAATCTTGCCTAGAGTTGCTTAGGGGGTAACGTCTTGGGAGACCCATGCAAAATAATTACAGTGGCGCCATATTTTCTGGCCCCGAACCAAAGATAAAGAGTTAAATCTCTATGTGGTGTAACATAATTAGAACACAACAAACATACTTGCAGGACGGGAAAGCACAGGGATGTCCATAAGTTTTTTTCCACCTGAGGTGATGTCATTCCGGGGGGGTTAGGGTTGCGGTGGTTCTGGCTTCGGGGGGGGTGTTCGGGTTGTGGT